ATCAGTGATGTCGCCAGGGGCCAGATCACAAAATCCTTGTAAGGACTTTTGACTCTTAGAAGGACAGTTAGAAATCTACCCATGAAATGGAGATGATGATGATAACTCCTATTCATAAGATTATGGAAATGGTTAATTAATGTAATGCATATGGAATTTCTTTGTACACTCTAAAACATTATCTAAGTGATAAAATTTTTTTCATCCAGAAGTAATAATCATTTGTCCAACATTTGTTAAGTATGAGGACTTGGTGGTGCTCACTGCCCAGTATGGGAAACAGGCACATGAACAACTTTCTACAGTGTCCTAGGGACTATAATAGAGCAGCTAAAGTCTGAAGACTAGGAGAGGCCTAGAGTGTCAACAGCACAGTGACACTCTAGGGGTGTGTATTAAAGGAAGATACGTGGATATTTTTTAGGGTAGCTTATATTTTTCTATTTATAAACCCCGAGAGAAAGAAAAATTAGCCTTCTTCCTTAGCAACAGTTATTGTCAGTGGTGTGTCTACTGAGATGAACCCCTGAATGTGGCACTTATCACACTTATTTGTAGTGTAAATAAGTTACAGGTGTGGGGGAAAAATGAGATAAAAATGGTAAGAAGCTTAGAATGTGCATAAGCATATAGTCATAGCATTTCAGATAACTATTCTTTGTCTTAATTCAACATGAAGTGATACTGCTTAAGTTTTAACAATAGATGGTATATTGCTGCCCTTTGCCAGTCTTTCTTGTTAAAGCTTTATTAGTGTTTCCTTTGTAGAACAAATAGTCTGATTCTTAAAGCACAGAGATACTCTTGCTCTTTTCAGTCTGTTTTAGTAGGTTTTACCCTAAAACATCTAACTACCCTGAAAACTCCCTAGCTTCTCAACATTTAACGCATTCACTCTGGGCCAGGCACTGTCTTCAGTGCTTAACCTGTACTATCTCATTGAATCCTCACAACTATGAGGGTAGGGACTGCTTTCCCCATTCTAGAGTTGAGGCAGCTGATATGGTGAGGTTTACTAACCGTCCAGATTCACACGGTTAAAAAGTGGCAAAACTTGGGTCAGAACCTGAGCAGCGAATTCAGAGCCAACACCCTTCATTCTTCCGTCTCCTGTGATAGATCGGCAGTGACTGCAGAATGCTTCCTTGCCTAGAGAGATGCAGTATTGATGGTCCTTAACATGATTGAAATAGGTCAGCACCTTTTTAAGTTTTGAATTATGTTTTTCCCTGCCCTAGAAAGAGATTAAAACTTAACCAACTTAAACATCACCAATATGTTCTTTGGGTCCTAAAATATGTATATTCTGCCATAGTTCTGGTCTTGGCTTTGCTACTGACTAAATATATGATCTTGGACAAGTTATTTGGCCTGGCTCTTGGGTGTTTCAGCTGTCAAAGAAAGGATTAGACTAGACAATTTTCTGTATACACTGCTAGCTCAGTAAATTCTCTGATTCTGTACTCTGCCAAGATTAAAGGTTGATACCAACTTTTTGGTCCAGTCATTTAGAACCTGTTGTTCCAAATGAAAAAGAAAGTATATATAGAAGTATTCTCTTTTGCTGTGCTCTTTGTTATTTTGATTGTTCAAAAAATTTCCACCAGGCTACTAGATTTTGCCATTGTAAAGTATATATGTGGTGTGCTCAATTTTAAGGACTGGGACTATTCCCAGAGGGCCAGTGCTGGTCACAAATAAAATGGACCACTCAAGGACTAAGCACTAAGAATATCTCATAAAAATGCTTCTTCCATGCACTCATTGGAACAGGTAATTACTGTGGCAACAACAAACTAATTTGAAGTGTTAGCTGTTAATTAAAACACTGCAGAGGTGTATAGTTGTCTTTTGGTGTAACCAGAGCTTCCGTTCAAACTTCATTAATCACTTTACAGTTAATGCGTTGAAGAAGGTCAAGACAATTGAGATGCAGTATCCGTTGATAGTAAACAAATTCTTTTTCTCCAGGTCGAATGCCATTTGCAAAGTTAAGAGACACACTCTACTCGTATGCCTGGTATTGCCTTTGTCATCCACTTCTCCTTGATGATTAAATGTTAAATTGGTACTGTCATTGCCCTGTAAACCAAACCATGTAGCTCTGTATTGCTCGAAATCGAACCCAAACTTCCACGGATGAATTAGCGTGCATCATAATTAAATCATCAAGCCTACTCTTTTAATTTGCTTGGAAATAGGAGACCTTACTTTTGGAAAAGAGATCGTCTTTCTTGACAAGCTAATTAAGTTGCCAAACTGTCCAGTATGGTATATATAGTAGACTATCTGCTGATCATTTCCTTATCGCTGCGGCTAGTCTCAAAAATCTAGGTGATGCATGGTGCCCAAAGTAACAGCACTGTTCTTTTTACAACATTTGAATCTGTGTCTGTGCATTCAAGTCTGTATCTTTGTATTTCAGACCTTAGTTAGTGATTCTAATACACAGTGTTTCAAAAAGTTGAAATTGGAAAAATCTGTGGTATACAGGGGGAAAATACAAAATCACTAAACCTTACATATTTTATTAACTGTATTTACATGGAATAACTCATTGCCATCAAGTTGATTCAGACTCATAGCGACCCTATAGGACAGAGTAGAACGGCCCCCATAGGGTTTCTAAGGCTGTCATCTTTCAAGAAGCAAACTGCTGCATATTTCTTCCCTACATGAAATAATGTAACTGAATTTCTTCAAATCAAGTTTCAAATTAGCTTAGTACAACAACTTCTTTGTCAGGCATTGAGAAACGTAAGTTTTCATATGCCAGTTTATTACATGGATTTAGATATATCATGAATCAAATTGTGACCTAAAATATTAGTTTATGTTGTATAAATGTCTGACATTAACATAGATAGTAAAGTGTTAATTTCTTCCAAAACCAGTATAATATAGGGTTTCCACTTATAAAATGTATATGATTTTATACAAAGTATAAAAGACCCCATGTACAATAGAACGAAATGCTGCCTGGGCCTGCACCACCTTCACAATGCTTGAGTCTATTGTTGTGACCACCTGTGTAATTTGAGTGCCTTCCAACCTAGGCAGGCTCATTTTCCAGCACTATATCACACACTTTCTGTTGTGATCCATAGGGTTTTCACTGGTTAATTTTTGGAAGTAGATCACCAGACCTTTCTAGTCTATCTTAGTCTGCAAACTCCACTGAAACCTGTCCACCATAGATGATCCTGCTAGAATTTGAAATACTGGTGGCATAGCTTCCAGCGTCGTAGCAACACGCAAGCCACCAACAGTACAAAAGACTGACAGATGAGTGATGGGTTCATATATACCAGAGGAGTTGACATTGAGAGTAAGTTTTTGGATACTTACACATTAAAGAATCCTTTGGTAAAATGAAAAACTGCCACCTAATTTTTATAATCTTGCCTTTAAATGAGATGTACTTCAGTTTTCTCTACAATTAATTGATACAATAAAGGCTAAATTTACCTCCCATAATTCGCTTTATCATCCATTCAAGTAGAAAAAGCAGAATGAATAAGTTCTTTCTAGTCTTACCTGAATTTGTAACATTGTACATGTGAAAAATACGTTACAAATACCTGTAGATTCTTCATAACTAAACCATTTGTGTAAGCCCCAATCATAAAATGCCCTTAAAAACATTTGTCAGTTGTTGCATAACCCTGTAAATTTACTAAAAATCAATGAATTGTACATTTAAAACAAGTGAATTTTATTATATGGTAAATTATTCCTCAATAAAGATGCTAAAAATTTTTGTTAGAGCGACCAAACAAATATTTATGTCAAAACAGCAGAAAATGATGTTTCCATTTTTACAATAGTGGAAAATGTTTTGTTTGAAGTGAGCGATTTGTGCTATTAAGCCAATAACAAGTAAAAATCTGGAGCCTGATACATAAACATTTTGCAGCTGCTTCCTGGGCAGGTGTAGACGGAGAATTCCTGAGGAGCTTATTTCCATTTGCCCACATCTTCCCTACCACTCACATCTTCACTACCACTCACATCTTCATACTGGCTGGGTGAGAGGAAGAACAATTTGATCTTGGTTAATGTGTAAACTTCTTTACAGGGCAAGATTTGAGTTCTTCCAAACTAGTTTGCTTCTTTATATTTCTTTGGGCTTGTAATAAGAGGACTTGTTTACATTGTGTGATTTGTTTTGAAGTTTTTATATAAGCCACATTGTTTCTGGGTAATGGACAGAATATGCAGGCTCTGTATTTATATGTACAAAAGACCACATTTCATTTAAACACAAAATGTCTTGACAAGAAGTATTGGCATTTTATTTCTGCAAACCCTGTTCTCTAACTCTTTTTCATAAGTGAATGTATCCCCGTACCTTGATTTAATTTGTATTTTCCTGTATCTCATCATTTGAGCTTGTCTCTTTTCTGAGGCTTTTTTTATGCTGGGTGAGCCAGCTTTGAATCACATGTCAGAGCCTTATAACTCTATAGTTTATTATATGAAATTATATTTTAAACCATAGCCAATTATGTTTGTTTTGATGAAATGTAGGAATATGGCTTATCTGCATACGTAACTGAAAGAAGTAAACACAAAACCTCTCATTTTGTGTGGTTCTGTACAGTGCTTAGCATAGGGCTATCCAGGACCCCACACACAAAAAGGCAGTGTGTCGTAAAGGATCTGGAGCCAGAAGGCCTGGATTTGAGGCCTCATTCTGTCACTTAATGTCTTTGTACCACTGGGCAAACTGCCTGACTTTTCTATGCTTCAGAGTTTTCATCTATAAAAGGAGAATAATAATACCAGCACTAACTCAGAGGATTATCATAAGGTAATGTGTAATGAATCACTTTGTAAACCATTACGCTCAATAGAAATATATTACTAATGTGATTAGTGTTCTTTGAAAGTACCACGTATCCTCATGGTTGCAGATACGTTTGGACTTACACCTATGTCCTTAAACATTTTGTAGATTGTTTAGTGATCCCAAGTGATTTTTTTTTTTTTCCCTACAGAGCATATCATGTCCCGAGTGGGAAAATATTAGCTGTAAAGGTGAGTGCTGGATAAATTTTATGAAATTTTTGATTCTCACCATTTTCTCTTTGTCTATTAGCTTGAGTCACAGGTATCATCAAAGAGGAGATAGAATGGTTTAAGGTTCAGATGATAGGTAATGGGAGCTATGACCCTGTTGTGACGTTCAGACACCTGAAGGTATTTTAAGTATGCCTTAAAATGGTCAGTCACAAGCTCCTTGCGTTGTAATTCTCGTCATTGTTTCCTACACTTCTTTCTGTGTTCTCCAACAAGTGTCGTCACTGTCCTCCTGGTCATGCAGCCCAAAACCTCATTAGTCATTCACTTCTTTTTCTCCTTTACCCACCACATCCTGTAAGTCACCACATCCTGCCAGAAATCTTTCCTGAAATGAGTCCATTTGTCACTTTCTTCCTATTTTCATCCCCATTCCACTCTCTTGGATCAGGCTCATATTCCCTTCTACTACCCGTTGCCATTGAGTCGATTCTGACTCATAGCAACCCTATTTAGGAGAGTAGAACTGCCCCATAGGGTTTCCAGGAAGTGGCCGGTGGATTCAAACTGCCCACGTTTTGGTTAGCAGCTGAGTTCTTAACCACTCCAACCTTCTCCTGAAATAATGTAGTCCCAGTAGAAGGTACCGTTTTCTTCTCCTGGGCACCTTTTACTCTGCCACCTGAGTAGAGAAGTCAAATTACAAATCTGACCATGTCATTGCCTTGTGCCTGCCCCCTTCCCCCACCCACTGTCATCCCCAGTCGTGTACAACATAAAGCCTAAGAGTTCTGCCTTACTTCTGACCATTTATGGCATCCTAAAATACCCAGGCACCACACTTACCAGTAGAGTCAAGCTGCAGATAGATAATCTCAGGAATGTTCTTGGCAATTACCTAAGATATGCCTTACTTATTTCCATCCTAGCATAATCCAACCCCATCTCTGCCAAGCTCTAAATCTCAGTCCTGCCATGCCATTTTGGATTTACTCTCTGGCACTGGCTGTTGGTGCTTGATCTTCCCATCATTTACATCTCAGATTTCCCTAATGAACTCTGCCTTGAATTGTACCTCTGACCTAACCCTTCACTACCTCAACTCCTTCCCTAGTTCTAACTCCACGGAACCCCACTTCCAACAGTGGGCTCTCAACTAACGAACTAGTTAGTCCTGTGTCATTCCCCATAAGTTGGTCAGGCCCTCTACAGATTGGCCCCTACATACCTTTACAAACATGTCTTCTGCCTCACCAGTCTGTTATTTCCCAGTCATGCCCATCATCTCTACTTTCTGGGCCTTTAATAATGAAAACTTTTATGTTTTATATTATAGTGACTACTATATGCCAGGTATGATGCTAGATGATTCATAACTATTATCTATAATCTTTAAAACTACAAAGTACACCTGTCTATTTTAGATTGGAGAAAACTGAGGCTCAGAAGGCTGATTTGCCCAAGGTCACACAGATGTAAGAGGCAGGGCTCGGATTCAAACTAAATCCATCTGACACCAATTCTCATGTCCTCTATGATACCATGCCACCTTTCTGCAAGTTACTTCCATTGCTTATCCCTCCAATTTCCATTTATCATTTCAAGGTTCATCTCCCCCAAGATGCTTTCTTAGCTCTCCCCAGTAAGAATTCAGTCTCTTTCCCTAACAGTTGCATAGTACGTATTTATGCATCTTTTATCTTATCTAGGAAGCAAAGAAGCAGAGAGATTAAATTGTAACTGGTTATACATTTTAGTGAGGTTAAGCCAACTAAGACACAGATCTTCTGACTGCTAGTGTAGCCTGGAGTTCTTTCTCCATATCACATATACATACCGAGAATGTGTTATGTGGATTAATAACTTAAATAGTGTGTGACGAGGAGGTACAGTAGAGCTCCCTGTTGGGATGCTTTCTTTGGCATTCCTACCAAGTTAGAGATCATCTAGTGTAATCACCACATTTTACAAAGGAGGAATCTGAGGTCCAGAGAATTCACAGGGTAGTTACTGTAGAGGCAAGGCTCCATCTTCGTCATCCTGAGTTCACTGGAAGCAGCTTCTATTGTTCTACCTTGGCATTTAACTTTGTTTATATACCCACTGAGTTCCTTTTTCACTCAAAGGACACTTCCTAACAACTTGAGCACTATTATCTAAGTTATTTGTTCTTTTGATGTCAAAAATCTTAGATTGTTGCCAATGGTATATTTGTTGAAGATAGTCAACTCTAGGTTATTTACTCCAAGAGAGAGCACTACTACATATAATCCAACAATGTATCATTATGTGGCCTTCAAACCCAGTAAATCCCACAAGGTGTTTGGTTATGTCTAGGAATTATCTGTATCTGTGACCCCTATGTGGTTTATTTTGTATATGAATATATACGTGGCGCACATAAACATATCTACATATGCCTACAGATACACCTGTATATACACCCATATACTCACATGTGCCTTCCTATACACATATATGCATACATGTCTACATATGTAACCACACACATATATTTTTGGTTGTTATTATTGTTGCAAAATTATATGATATAGCATTTACCAAAATTGTCTCTTATTCTTGTGTTCTTCTTAGTCTTTCTTTACCTTGGATAAGTTGTACAGGCTTCACCCTTAATTGGATATTGCTTTTCCTATCACCAAAAATGACAAGTGTTTACTACCTAGAAAGTTATTTCCCCTCCCTCCCACTCCCATCCTTGGTAACTGTCAAAGAACATTGCTGTCTGTGTGTATACCTATCCTAGACTTTTAATAAAAGTGAGATATTTTCAATATATTTTAATTGACTGAGGCTTGTTTGGTGGCCTAATATGTGGTCTGTTCTGGAGAATGATCCATGTGCATTAGAAAAGAGTGTGTACTGTGCTGCTGTTGAGTGGTGTATGTCCTGTACACATCTATAAGTTTGAGTTGGTTGATTGTGTTATTTTGATCTTCTGTATCTTTGTTGAGTTTCTTTCTAGTTTTCCTGTCCATCATCAAAAGTGGTGTGTTAACGTCTCCTACTATTATTATAGAACTGTCGATTTCTCTTTTCAATTCTGTTAGAGTTTGTTTTATGTATTTTGGAGTTCTGTCATTGGGTGCATAAATATTTATTATGGTTATGTCCTCTTGTTGGATTGATCCTTTAATCATTATATAATGCCCTTCCTTGTCTCTAATAATAGAGTTTGACTTGAAGTTTATTTTATCGCATATTATTACTGCCACTCCTGCTCTCTTTTGGTTACTGTTTGCATGATATGTATTTTTTTCATTCTTTGAATTTTAGCCTGTTTATGTCTTTGGGTCTAAGGTGTGTCTCTTGTAGGCAGCATATTGATGGGTCATGTTTTTTTAATCCATTCTGCCACTCTGTGTTTCTTGACTGGTGCATTTAAACCATTTACATTCAGTTATAGATAGGTATGAATTTACTGCCACCATTTTGCTATGCTTTTGAATGTGGTGTTAACAGCTTCTTTATTCCACTTAATTTTCTGTGCTGAGTCCTTTTTGTTTATGAATTTTCTTTTTGTTTCCTTCGTTGTTGTTGATTTTATGTTTGCTGAGTCTTCTTCTTTACTTTGATAAGTAGATTTATTAATTTTCTTTGTGGTTACTATGAAATTACTCATTCTCTTCTTAAGTTTTAAACAGTCTGTTATATCTTGATATCACCTTGACTTTGTCTCCATATGGAAGTTTTATAACTACACCATTTATTCCCCCTTTTTGTTTTGAAGTTGTCGTCATTTACAGATTGGCTTCTCTGGTTCCCTGTTTTCAGTTTTGTAGCTTTATTTTACATTTGAGAATTCTTTTTCTGGATTGGTATCTGGGTGATGTTGTCATGTGTCTTAATCTCAGGTTGTTGTCTGATGTCACTGGTTCTCTGTCCTTTTGATATTTCTTGTAGGGTTGGTCTGGTTTTTACAAATTCCCTTAATTTCTGTTTATCTGGGAATGTCCTAGTTTTGCCATCATATTTGGAAAGACAATTCACTGGATATATGATTCTTGGTTGACAGTTCTTTTCTTTCAGGGTTTTATATGTGTCATCCCACTGCCTTCTTGCCTGCATGGTTTCTGCCAGGAAATCAGCGCTCAGTCTTATTGGTGCCCTTTTGTAGGTGATATTTCGTTTTTCACGAGCTGCTCTCAGAATTCTTTCTTTGTCTTTAGCTTGGAGAGTTTGATTATGATATGTCTTGATGACTTTCTTTTAGTGTCTATCCTGTATGGGGTTTGTTGAGCTTCTTGGATGGAAACCTTTTAGTCTTTAATGATATTAGGGAAGTTTTCTGTGAGTAAATCATCAAAAATTCTGTTTTTTTAAATTTTATTTTCTTCTCTATTCTCCTCTTCTAGAATTCCAGTTATGCATAGATTCTTCCTCTCAAAGAGTCCCACATAACTCTTTGGCTTTATTCATTTTCCTTCATTCTTTTTCCAGTTGTTCCTCAGGTTAGTGTCAAAGGATTTGTCCTCTATTTTGCTGATTCTTTCTTCCGTTGCTTCAGTTCTACTTCTGTGACCTTTCATTGTGTTATCTCTTTCTGATATTTGATTGTTAATCTTCTGGACTTCTAGTCGTTTTTGTATGGTGTCTAATTGTCTATTTTGTCATTTTGTTCTTGTATTGATTTCCTGAATTCTTCTGTGTTTTTGTCTGTGTTTTCCTTAATCTCTTTGAGTATCTTATATATAAGTCTTTTGAATTCCTTATCAGGTAGTTCCATTACCATTTCTTCCTCAGGAAGGTTTTCTACCCCTTTATTTTGCTCACTTGTTTGAGCCATCTTATTCTGTTTGTTCATGTGATTTGTTATCATCTCCTGTCTCTGAGGCATTAAGGTGTTATTTTATTTATTTATATATTTCTTTATTGATTGTATGTAGGTTTGTTTTGTGCTAATTTTTTTTTTTTGATGTATCTAGAACTTTGTTTCTTCACTTTCTCTTTAGAATGTCTTTTGTGTTATTTTAATCATTGTTATTTTGTGGTTCTGT